TTTAGTTGTAGTACCATCTTGACAACACTAACCCTGATGAAAACACCAGTATGCTGTTATTCCGAACATTCACATTACTCTAAGCTGGTGTTTTCAGCAGGAATCCTTCATTGAAGCACTTTGTTTTTTTTTGTTTTTTTTTATTTTACTTATTTTATTATGTTTTTTTTTTTTGGGAGGGGTGTCGTAGTTTTGTGGTTTAAGGTTCAAATTTTGCAAGGGTTGATCCATGAAATATCACTGTTTTGTCCTTGATCAAGATGCTGGATCTCAGGAACTGATCCTGTAATAACTGCACTGAAAACTCCTGTGGATTGAAACTTCCAAATATATGCAAAACGGCAAATATATATTTTTGTAATATATTGTTATATACTGTATTATCTTCCACATCTGTTGTTACTGACTGAAGTATGAGCCACTGGTTTACTGGTAAAACAACAATATGCATTTATTATTCATATGTATTATGATATTCAGTTGTTTGCTATTTATGTGGTTATTGTTGATGTGCAAAAGTGAATTGCTATTCTTTGTAGTTTTTTCAACTGCAAGATTTAGGAGTGTCATCATGGTGCCTGTTTTCTCAGAAAAGTAATTTCAGTGTCAGAGCTGAAGTACTGTAATAAGCCCACCTCACAAAAACTTGAACCACGACCTTTAGTAGAAGACAAGTTGGGTGCCTTCTGACCCTCCTTTAGATATTTTATATATCTGCTTGTTTCCTGTAATTTGCATAAGCCAAGGAATAAGTGTCTTACATTTATGCATGTATAAACGCCATTTTCTTAAAATGAAAAGGAACTTTGTGTGGATCTTTGTAATTTGGAAGATAAGATCTTTGTATGTTTATGTGACAAGTGTCATTAAAAATAGATCTGATTTACTCATAACACTTCGAATCTTTGAGTTGTTTTGTTGTTTTATCAGAAATAACTAAAGTAAGCTACACTGAATAATCTGATCAGTGTCTCTGTATATTCTGAAATGTGATTTTAACACTCTCTGATGCACTGAACTTTCAACTTAAACATTTTATGATCCAGCCTTTGACCTTAACTAAAGCTAACTAGCTGTTCAACTCCTCCCTTAGCAATAAACACAGAATCTAACTAATTTTCTAAAAACTTTTTTATTTCATGTATTTATATTGCATGAAGGTGAAGGCTGTTCTTGGAAAGGTGAATTCTTAGTTGGGACTCTAGATGGCGCGCCAGTAGTACAGTATGCATACTGCTTGTAGTATACACACTCCCCCCCCCGGTAAGAGAAACAGGAGGGGGAATCCCAATTTAACTTGTTTAATCAAAGGAGATTTGTATATGTTATTTCACACATGTGGTCTATAATAGACAGAAGAGATACAAAGAAAACAGTGGTAAATATATCAGTAAATGACACAAACATTCAGTTATTAAGTAGTATATTAATTAACATACATTATTTGCCGATTATATTAGTAAATAAAGTAAACAATTACAAGAAGATTGCGCGATTGTTGCGTATGCTCAATATTACAAGCAGGGAAAGTGCAACGTCATCAAATTTGACATTTCAAACAATATTGAACAAACCGGGTGATATGTAACTAGGAAGTGAACATAATCATTTGCATTCTACTAGAAATAGACGTATTATAAAGCTCAAAGTCCGATACGAAAGCGTTTGGTTTCACTTTCAATTTCACTTTCGTTTGTGACGCAGTTTAAGATGCGTTCAATTTACGGGCAGATATCGACATTCAGATCAATAATATAGATTACAAATACAAATTATATATGGAAACTCACCCGTAATCATTTACACACTGGTAAAACATATACAAAGTTGAATAAACATTCCAGCCAGCCTGATTTGTAACCTACTGCTGTCGAGACAAAATGTCCACTCCTAACTGCGCTACGTGCCACTAGGGGGTGTGGCTATAGGGCTTTCTCACAATCCCATATTAAAATATGATTGTATATCAGGAACAATAAATGTAGTAACTATTGACAAACTATGGTTGCCGTAGTAGATTGCTTTATGGTTTATCAATGCATTCTTTTCTTTTTCTTTCTTTTAAACACTTCGCTGTGCAACTGGCTGTTGGACTTTCTGACTGGAAGACCTCAGGCAGTACGGGTCGGCAGCAACACATCCAGCACCATCACACTGAACACTGGGGCCCCCCAAGGATCGTAACGAAACGTCACTACGCTCTGCAGTGCGTAAGGGAGCCTCCCAAATCATTACGTTCACTTTAATAAAACAAGGGCTCTCCTGTAATGTAAAGGAACAAGAGTATGTTTACGTAACTGAATCTGCATTTATTTTAGGAAATTGTTTTTTGAAAATGAAGCACGTCTCAAATTTGCTCTCATCGCTCATGTATTTAATCGCGTACGGTAAGTCATGTTTATACATTTACATTTACATTTAGTCATTTAGCAGACGCTTTTATCCAAAGCGACTTACAAATGAGGACAATATTCGGTCAGTGATAAAAGCGAACGTGAGGAAGTTTCGTTTATCAGCTCTACTCGATTTACATTCGACATAAATTGTTGTTTGTGTTTTGCTCGACCATTATAATACATTCTTTACTATCTCTTTTCTGGTCAACAACGCCTATAAAAATGAACGATGCACAGCCCATATCAGTTTCAGAGGCGTGGATTAAAAACATTATGGCCAAACTGTTCAAGTAGGGATAACTTGAGACAGCTAAAGGGGTCTCTGTTTTTGCTCAGGTGTAGTGACTTGGTATAAAAACACATAAAAGTGACGTAGCATCAATACAATGAATAAATAGAAATCGCCTAAACTGATCAAATGTAGGCTACTTGAATGTGAGTCGCTTTGGAGAAAATCTTCTGCCGAATAAAATGCAAATAAAAACTTCAGAGATTCAAACAGCAGGAGTAAAAATAAGACCCACAATCTTTATGATCTGTAGAAAAACATTTTCACAGCACATCTGTTATATAAACTTGTTTGGCTTATGATTACCTGTTTATTTCTTCTACAGGTGTCTCTGGTGTCTGTACAGATGAAGTGTCAGTGTGTGTGATGGAGGGAGATTCAGTCATTCTAAACCCTCATATTAAAACAAACCAACAGGTTAGAATGAAATGGTATTTTAATGACATTTGCATAGCTCAAATCAGTAGAGATTGCAGACAGGCCTGTACAGATGTTCGGTGTGAAGATTCTGATGAGAGATTCAGGGACAGACTTAAGCTGGACAATCAGACTGGATCTCTGACCATCACAAACATCACAACCACAGACTCTGGACGTTATGAACTGAAGATCACCAGCAAAAGCGGCAGAATCAGTAGAAAGACATTCATTATTGCTTTATATGGTGAGTCATTGTGTTAGAAACCAAATCTTGTACATTTAAATCAAATTATCTTATTGATCAAAATAAGCAGAATATAGTACAAACTTTGCTAAAGTGATTGTTCTGAACAAGTATTAACTTGTTCAAAAAAACATTCAAAACAATATTTTAGCTAATGTATTTGTATCACTACTGTGTGCCTTTTGCCCCATGCTGGTGAGCCTTTTACCCCGTGTGTGGGGGGTAAAAGCCCCCCTTGCCACCTCATACATTTCTAAGATTTTTAAACAAAATAAACTACTTGTATAATTTATTTTCACACAAAATCTGTTGTTCCCATTTATAACGGAGATGAAACTGACTGGAGCTATCGCTGCGTTCAGTGGTTTGAACGCACACGTTCCAGCCAATCAGAACTGAGTATTCAGACAGACCATGGTTTATTTTTGTTCAGCTTATAATTAACTGTTAATTTCTTCTTCAGGTTTTTTCGGTGTTGATACAAGAAGAGTGTCCGTGATGGAGGGAGATTCTGTCATTCTGCACACTGATGTTACAACAACCCAGCAAAACAAAATGACATTTAGATGGTATTTTACTGGCTCTCAAATAGCTGAAATCACTGGAGATCACACTGATATATGTAGAGATGCTCATGGGAAATTTACAGGCAGACTGGCCCTGGATCATCAGACTGGATCTCTGACAATCAAAAACATCAGAACCACAGACTCTGGACTTTATAAACTACAGATCACCTGCGGCAGAAGTATCAGAATCATAAGGAGCTTCAATGTTACCGTCACTGGTGAGTATCATGTGATGATATAAATTTAGCTCTAATTGCTTTTTTGTTTACTCATGTATGGTTAAAAAAAAAAACATTTATTTGTTACAATCTCTCCTCGATAAAATCAAATGGAAAATGTAACAGTTTAAAATGCAACCCAGATCAGATCAGTTTCAGTGGTGTGACTGAAAAATAAAGTACGGTACAAATACTTTGAAAATGGGGTCTTTGTAAATCCTTAGGTCAAATGACTTCAAAACCTCTAAACGTAATGTCCTCCTACCTTGAGTAATTGTTGATATATTTTACATCAGTACATAAACTGAGCAAATTTAATTTAAATGTGAGATGCTTTGAATAAATGTTTCTGCCACATGTATGAAAATGTAAATGAAAACATGTTTATGTGGGAGAATCAAACAACAGGACTAAAAATAAGAACAATACTTTGTAGAAAAAAATGACATTGTATCTTAAAGTGGTGGAAAATAGCACAGTATTATTATAGGTAATATTCATCTGCATAACATTCATTATGAGTCTATAAAAAATACTCGGTTGTCTCAATGCACAAATACATGTATATGTATAAATATATGATGATGTTCTTCTGCTGTTTGTTTGCATATGTGTTACATTACATTGTGCTACTCAGTCTTTATGATCTGTAGAAAAACATTTCCACTGCACATTCCTGTTTTATAATTTTGTTTGGCTTATGACTAACTCTCTGTTTATTCTTCAGGTCTTTTTGGTTTTAGAGCCATCTTGCCAGTTTTTGTGAAGGAGGGAGATTCAGTCACTCTACACACTGATGTTGAAACAAACCAACAAAAAGATATTAAATGGTATTATGAATTCTGTCATTCTGCACACTGATGTTACAACAACCCAGCAAAACAGAATGACATTTAGATGGTATTTTACTGGCTCTCAAATAGCTGAAATCACTGGAGATCACACTGATATCTGTACAGATGCTCATGGGAAATTTACAGGCAGACTGGCCCTGGATCATCAGACTGGATCTCTGACAATCAAAAACATCAGAACCACAGACTCTGGACTTTATAAACTACAGATCACCTGCAGCAGAAGTATCAGAATCATAAGGAGCTTCAATGTTACCGTCACTGGTGAGTATCATGTGATGATATAAATGTAGCTCTAATTGCTTTTTTGTTTACTCATGTATGGTTAAAAAAAAAAACATTTATTTGTTACAATCTCTCCTCGATAAAATCAAATGGAAAATGTAACAGTTTAAAATGCAACCCAGATCAGATCAGTTTCAGTGGTGTGACTGAAAAATAAAGTACGGTACAAATACTTTGAAAATGGGGTCTTTGTAAATCCTTAGGTCAAATGACTTCAAAACCTCTAAACGTAATGTCCTCCTACCTTGAGTAATTGTTGATATATTTTACATCAGTACATAAACTGAGCAAATTTAATTTAAATGTGAGGTGCTTTGAATAAATGTTTCTGCCACATGTATGAAAATGTAAATGAAAACATGTTGTTTATGTGGGAGAATCAAACAACAGGACTAAAAATAAGAACAATACTTTGTAGAAAAACATGACATTGTATCTTAAAGTGGTGGAAAATAGCACAGTATTATTATGGGTAATATTCATCTGCATAACATTCATTATGAGTCTATAAAAAATACTCGGTTGTCTCAATGCACAAATACATGTTTTACATCAGTACATAAACTGAGCAAATTTAATTTAAATGTGAGATGCTTTGAATAAATGTTTCTGCCACATGTATGAAAATGTAAATGAAAACATGTTTATGTGGGAGAATCAAACAACAGGACTAAAAATAAGAACAATACTTTGTAGAAAAAAATGACATTGTATCTTAAAGTGGTGGAAAATAGCACAGTATTATTATAGGTAATATTCATCTGCATAACATTCATTATGAGTCTATAAAAAATACTCGGTTGTCTCAATGCACAAATACATGTATATGTATAAATATATGATGATGTTCTTCTGCTGTTTGTTTGCATATGTGTTACATTACATTGTGCTACTCAGTCTTTATGATCTGTAGAAAAACATTTCCACTGCACATTCCTGTTTTATAATTTTGTTTGGCTTATGACTAACTCTCTGTTTATTCTTCAGGTCTTTTTGGTTTTAGAGCCATCTTGCCAGTTTTTGTGAAGGAGGGAGATTCAGTCACTCTACACACTGATGTTGAAACAAACCAACAAAAAGATATTAAATGGTATTATGATGGCCTTCGAGTGGCTGAAATCAATGGAGATCTCAGTTTTATCTGTACAGATGTTCAGTGTGAAGATGCTGACGGGAGATTCAGAGACAGACTGAAGCTGGACAATCAGACTGGATCTCTGACCATCACAAACATCACAACCACAGACTTTGGACTTTATCATCTACAGATCAACATCAGCAGCAGAATCAGTGAAAAGATCTTCTTTGTTGCTGTATATGGTGAGTCATTATGTTTAAATCATGTGAATAATGTGTTTAGTGGGAAATGGAAAACTCAGAGTGAAGCAATTACTGAATGCTTTGTCAGAGAGGGGGGAATTCCTGTCACACCAATTCACTCTGCTTGAATCCAATGGGTGTTTGGAGTAAACTTACACTGGACACCAGAGCAATTCTGTGATTGGATGGGGTGGGCCCATGGTAGGCCAAGCTCACCAGTTGGGTGGGCTAAGCAAAACCTGATTCCCACCGGTGGAGACGGGCCTAACCCAACATTTGACCTAAGAGTTTTGTTAAGAAGGTTAAGAAGACCTGGTTTAGTTAACCAAGAATCCAAAGTGCAGAGAACCTGATGAAAAAAGTATGAAAAATATTTTCATAAATGTGGACATTTTGTCACAATCATTTTCATTTCCACAGTTCTTTCATGTTATGTAGTTTGTTATTATCGGCAAAAAGATCCTCCAGCAGCTGTTGTTGGTTTGTGTTTCAGGTGTTCCTGCTGTTAAATCAGATGAAATGTCAGTGGAGGAGGGAGAATCTGTCACTTTAGATCCTGATGTAATAAAATACCAGAATGATTTGCTGACGTGGTATTTTAATGACATTCGCATTGCTGAAATCACTGGAGATCAGAGTAAGATCTGTACAGATGTTCAGTGTGAAGATGCTGATGAGAGATTCAGAGACAGACTGAAGCTGGATCATCAGACTGGATCTCTGACCATCACAAACACCAGAAGCACAGACTCTGGACTCTATAAACTACAGATCAGCAGCAGCAGCGGCGGCAGCATCATAAAGAGATTCAGTGTTATTGTCGGTAGTGAGTATCATTTAGTAATATATCAAAAATATCAATGTTTGATCTTCTAGGTATCTGATGCATGTAAAAATCTATGCGTTTCAGAAAGGCGGGGCATAGAGGAGAAACAATAATGTACAGTATGTGGAAAATAATGTGTTTTTTGAATCTTATACTGCATAAACACATTTCATTACACCAAATACACAAAATAATGTTATTTTTAGCAACATCATATGACCTCTTTAAACTGTCTTATAATATCAATATCAACTTTTGTTAAATTTGTTCCTCCAAAATAAAAATGTACTTGTGTGCATGAAATTATGTGAATATGATGCAGCATACACTCTAAAAAAGATGGTTCTTTGAAGGTTCTTTACATGTAGTAACGGTTCTATTTAGAACCACAGCATCCTGAAGAACCCTTTTATACTGAAATGGTTCTTTGTGTTAGAGTTTATGGTTCTTTATTCCCGCCCTTTTTGTTTTTTTAAATCTGTAACTGTCAAAAAGTTTCTCATGACTGATTTTCTGTAGCTCAGACTCACTGTCAACACACTCCCAACAGGTAAATTATTTAATTCTTTAATTTAAATACAAATTTAACTTTAAAATTGTAACTGGCTTCCAAACAAACATGTTCTTTCCTCTTTTTAGTTTTTTGGTCACATGTAAGTGTGAGCAGCTCTGTTACACTGAGGATATTTCTCTCCTCTTCTCCACTAAGTAAGTAACAGAGACATTGAATTTATAATACATAATGTTAGAATTTTTTTTAATTTAATTTAACACTAGAACTCCCTATTCTATTTCTATTCTATCTGCTTGTTTTCTCTTTAATTATTATAAAAAATAATAATAATTGACCCTCTAACACTAGCTCTGTCTATTCTATTTCTTTTCTATCTACTTTTTATTCTGTTTATTTATTATAAAAAAAAAAAATTTTGCTTTTGGCCTTCATAGACATTATTGTTTTTACATAAAAAAATGGACAGCTCTAAACTCAATTGTTTATTTCAGATGCATCACATTCCACAATCTCATCATCTGCAGAGAGAAACTGCCACTCAGTCACACCAAAATGATGGACTTAAAGGCATCATATAGGATTGTGAAGATATTTCACTGGAACTTTGTCTTCATCACATCTATTTTTTGTTTTTATTTTGTGTTTGTACACTTTATCTATGTATTAATGTTCAATGTCAAGTGTCAACTGTTGTTAAGAGCACTGACATTATTGCTACAATTTCACATCAATAAAAAAGTACCTGATTCACACAATATGTTGTTGCTGCTGTTATTGTTGTTGTTGTTATTTTAATGTAAATCCCCCTCCCCCTGATTTCCCCCCTGAATTACTGATTTTTTGGACTTCAGCCATCCAACTACACAGACTGTCAACACACTCTCAACAGGTAAATGATTTCTTTCTTAAAATGTCTTATTATTTTCAACTTTTAAACTGTAACTGGTTTCCTACCAGTCATGTCTTTTTCTCTTTAAAAAAGTTTAAGAGAACATGTAAGTGTGACCAGCTCTGTTCAGTTAAGGATACTTCTTTCCCCATCTCCACTAAATAGCAAAGATATTGAATTTATGGTCCATATTGTTAGATTTATTTATTTATTTTATTACTTGGGTTTATGCATAAACATAACATTGTGAAGTGCTCACATACTACTTTTGGCCTTCATAAACAATTGTTTTAACATAAACAAATGAAAGGAGACAAACTGTATATCTAAAATAAAAAAGTACCTAATTCACACAATATTTTGTTGCTGCTGCTGTTGTTGTTGTTTTAATGAAAATCCCTAATAGAGGCTTAAAAAAAAAGATGGCTCATTACTGATTTTTTTGGAGCTCAGCCATCCAACTACACACTCTCAACAGGTAAATGATTTATTTCTTAAAATGTCTATTATTTTTAACTTTCAAACTGTAACTGGTTTCCTATCAATCATGTCTTTTTCTCTTTTTAGTTTAAGAGAACATGTAAGTGCGACCAGCTCTGTTCAGTTAAGGATATTTCTTTCTCCATCTCCACTAAGTAACAAAGATATTGAATTTATGGTCCATATTGTTAGATTTATTTATTTATTTATTTTTATTCAGGTTGCCTCCTTTATGCACAAGCCAATGTAATGTTTGCTAAGCTTAAGAGGCAATTCCCTCCGCTCATCAGATTTTCTTTTATGCCCCCTGCTTTCACTTTTGCCATTTTAAGTAAATAGATTTTAATGAAAAGCCTAGAGGGGATGTCTTTATTTTCCAGGCTGATGAAACCTCAGAAGACAAGAGAGCGCTTGGCAGCAAACACAGGGCTTTAAAACCTCCAAGCATTCGCTCTTTGAAATGTGTTGGCACCATTCCATATTTTACAAGCATCTTTCACAATTGACTATGTACCGTTTCTCCATCAGTCATGGCATGAAAGGCTGTGATTTTTACAAGCAGTAAACAAGCAGTCCATACAGTTGTAGCAAGAGACTTATCAGCATTCTTCATTTAATACCAATTTGTAAGTATTGCATCATGTATTAGTGCAACAAAATAAACTGAAAAGCAGTAAAACGTCTTCAATGTTAATATGAGTTTTGGACCTGCTTATTGACCGCTTGGTTTCTATTTCCGTGTTCTATTTCTTGGTTTCTATTCCCGCCCACAGTGAAATATCATTGGTCTAAAATTACGCTCCTCATAAATGTATATTAAAAACCGAACACGTTCTGATTGGCTGTTACTGTACCGCATCACACTGCATTTTTGCATTTTCACTAGAAACCTATTGCATCGTACCTGTTTACAATGAGGAAGTATCAAAAAACATTTCACATTTTTATTTGTTTTCAGAATGATTAGTTACCAGAGAAGTCTGGGAAATCTGAGAAATGTAACATTTCCTTAATTCAAGAGAGCTTTTAATGGAATGAGCTTGGTGTAAATTCAATTTCAGGAACTTTTCATCTTTGATGCACTCTTAAAAATAAAGGATTTAAAAGGGGTTTTTTTTTGCAGCGATGCCATAACATAACCATTTTTGGTTCCCTAAAGAACATTTCAGTCAATAGCTCTTAATAGTTCAGTCAATGTCAGTAAAGAACCTTTATTTTTTAAAAGTTTAGGGTTTTTAAAATGGAAGTGAAAGAAGTTATATTTCTCTACTGAAATTTGATAAACGTGTGCCATGAGGAAAACGCTTCTCGTGTGTCTCGCTGAGACTGATGTGCCCTTCGGCACAACGCCCTGGCAGTTAAACGTAACCAGTGACCTAGCGGTCCTCCTTCACTCTCTTACAGAAAGACTGAGCTCCAGGTAAAGTCAAGCATCTACTGTAATCACTACACTCTAAAAAATGAAGGTTCTTTAAAGGTTTGTTATGTGTAGTAATGGTTCTATTTAGAACCATAGCATCCTGAAGAACCCTTTTATGCTGAAACGGTTATTTGTGTTAGAGTCTAGGGTTCTTTATTCCCGCCCTTTTTATTTTTGAAATCTGTAACTGTCAAAGCTCCTCATTACTGATTTTCTGGAGCTCAGTGATCCAACTACACAGACCGTCAACACACTCTCAACAGGTAAATGATTTCTTTCTTAAAATGTCTATTATTTTTAACTTTCAAACTGTAACTGGTTTCCTACCAATTGTCTTTTTCTCTTTTTAGTTTAAGAGAACATGTAAGTGTGACCAGCTCTGTTCAGTTAAGGATACTTCTTTCCCCGTCTCCACTAAGTAAGTAACAAAGATATTGAATTTATGGTCCATATTGTTAGATGTATTTATTTAATTAAATTTAATTATTATCTTTTTATTATTTATTCCTTGGGTTTATGCATAAACATAACATTGTGAAGTGCTCACATACTACTTTTGGCCTTCATAAACATAATTGTTTTTACATAAACAAATGGAAGGAGGCATGTTGCAACTCTGAACTCAATTGTGCATTTCAGATGCTGTCACATCCTACAACCTCATCATCTGCAGAGAGAAACTGCCACTCAATCACACCAAAATACGGGTTGTATTTAACCCAGCATTTTTTAGAGTGTAATAAAACTAAAATTAATGATATAAATATACTAATATATTAATATTAATGAAAAGAAACTATCATTAAAAAGGTTATTTATAGCACCTTTAAGGTTCTATATAGCACTTTCAAAGCTTGGTTCTTTATGGAACCCTATAAAAAAGGTTCTATTTAGCACCAAAAAGGGTTCTGCTATTGTTACAAGCTGAAGAACCGTTTTCTGGCACTGTTTAGAACCATTTTTCTTAAGAGTGTATATGGGTCTAAATATAGACAATAGTACACATTTTTGCAGAATGTACTATATGGGTGCTAAAGCAGGGATGTGCAGAGAGTTCCTCAGGAGCAGGTGCTCAAATGTAAAATTATATATATATATACAGTATATAGGTAAAAATTTGGATACATTACTATTTTATATTTGTTTATATTTTTTTGCAAGAAGTAACTTATGGTCATCAAGCCTGCATTTATTTGATCCAAATTTTAATATACTTTAAAATAAATTTCATGCAATGCAGATTTATTATCAATTTTGGAGACCTGTGATACTTTTTCACCTGTGATTCTTTGATAAATGAAAAGTAAAAAAATAACAGCATTTATTTAAAATATAACTTTTGTAACAATATACACTACTGCTCATAAGCTTGAGGTCAGTATTTTTGTTTTTTTTATTTTGAAAGTATTTAGTTTTTATTCAGCAAGGATTTGTTAAATTGATAGAAACAGTGACAGTAAAGATTGATATTATTAGAAAACATCTCTATTTTGAATAAATGCTTTTTTTTTAAATTAAGCAGCACAACTCTTTCCAACATTGATAATAAATCAGCATATTAGAATGATTTCTTAAGGATCATGTTATACTGAAGACTTGAGTAATGATGCTGAAAATTCAGCTTTGCATCACAGAAATAAATTATATTTTACAATTGAGTACAATTTAATTATTCTTTTTAAATACAGTTTTTGATA